TTGAAGAATCAGATAGTGCTTGGTCGTCTCCAGTTGATCTGGTTCAGAAGCCCGGCAAGGTTCGACTTTGCTTAGACAGTAAAAGGATGCATATCCGCTACCTCAAATAGATGGAATTTTAGGCCGGCCAGCCATGTTTATATCCAGTTTGGATTTAAAAGATGCCTATTGGCAAACTCCTCTCGACCCAGAATCTCGGGATAAAACGGACTTCACCATACCCGACAAGCCGTTGTACCAGTATCGAGTAATGCCTTTTGGCCTTACGAATGCTTCCCAAACCATGATTCGGCTGATGGACATAGTAATTCCAGCTGATCTTCGAAATGAGATATTCGTGTACTTGGACGATTTGTTGATCGTCTCGGATAGTGTTGATTCGCTTTTGAGAGTATTGGAATTAGTCGCAGGGCATGTGAAAGTTGCCGTCTTGACGCAGAATGTAGAAGAAAGTAAGTTTTGCCGGCGATCGGTTAAATACCTCGGTCACATAGTAGGGGATGGCTTTATCAAAACAGATCCGGAAAAGATTTCAGCCATGAAAGATTATCCGTTGCCCAAGTCCTTGAAGAGCCTTAGACGATTTTTGGGAATGTACGGATGGTATCGGAAGTTAGTAGAAAATTTTGCATCTGTGGCGGCGCCGATAACCGATTTGTTGAAACCAAAGCCGAGTTTCCACATGACTCCAGAGGGAGAGCAGGCGTTTGAAAAGCTGAAGCAGAAACTCAGTACGATGCCAGCAAGACAGGTGTAGGTGGTATTTTAATACAAAAGACTTCTAAAGGAGATGAATATCCAATGCTTTTGTGTCCAAAAAACTAAACAAGGCACAGAGGAATTGTTCTGTTACGGAGCAGGAGTGTTTAGCAGCAATCGTGTGCATTAATAGATTTAGGCCATACATCAAGGGTCACCAGTTTACCGTGATTACGGATCACGCGTCTTTGAAATGGCTGATGTCTCAGACTGATTTACATTCGCGTTTGGCACGATGGGCTTTAAAACTACAGAGTTTTGATTTTAAGATTGAACACCGCAGCGGGAAGCTAAATGTCGTTTTGGATGCCCTGTCCAGGGTCAACGAAGACAATATTGCGGTTTTGGATGCCAACCACGGTTTGCTAGTAGATTTAAAATCCCTGATGTTCAGTCCTCCGAGTATTCTCTGTTCAAGGAGGGAATTAAAGCAAATGTAGATAAGTTGCAAGATCTTAAACTAGTAGACGATTTTTGTATAAGAAAATGGATCATACTTCGGATGACGCGCTGCATGACCAATTCTGTTGGAAATTATGGATCCCACAGACTTTAGTGCAGGTCGTTTTGGAAAATGCGCACGACCACCCTTTGGCATCGCATCGAGGAATTCATAAGACTCTAGAGCGAGTAGTTCGGTATTTTTATTGGCCAGGAATGGTCAAAGATGTCAAAACATATGTTCTGGGGTGCGAGACTTGAAAGGCGACCAAGGCTTCAAGTACTATCCAATGACCTCCAATGGGCGTTGCTCCAGAGTCGAGACGATTTTTCCAAGGGTTATATGTTGATTTTCTTGGTCCATATCCACGCTCGCGAAGTGGTCATGTAGGTATATTCATTGTTTTGGATCACTACTCGAAATTCGTGTTTTTAAAGGCGATAAAGAAACAAACGGCTGAAATTATAACTAGGTATATGGAGCAGGATTTATTTCATACATTTGGAGTGCCCCAGACTATAATTTCAGATAATGGGTCCCAGTTTAAATCTGACATTTTTCAAGAGTTTTTACGGAAATGGAAAATAGCGCGTACCCTTAAAGCAGTATACTCCCCATAGGCGAATGCGTCGGAACGGGTTAATCGGTCGGTAATTGTGGCGATCAGATCTTATGTGAGGCCAGATCAGAAGGATTGGAATGAGAAACTTTGTAGCATATGTTGTGCTCTGATAACTTCAGTTCACTCTAGCCTTGGTACTTCGCCGTATTATATCAAAATTTTATTGGTTCAGGTTCCACGTATAAGCTTTTAAGAACCTTGAGTTTGTTGGAGGATAGATCGGCTTTGTTTAATATAGGGGATTCCCTAGAGTTGGTAAGAACCAAAGCTCTTGAGGTCATGCGGAAACAAAATCAAAAGAATGAACGTCTCTATAATCTGCGCTCAAGGGAGGTTTCTTATACGGAAGGTCAAGAACTGTTTCGAAGAAATTTTAAACAAAGTAATTTCTAGGCCGGCTATAGCGCTAAGTTGGGACCAGCTTTTATAAAGGCAAGAGTTCGGCGAAAACTCGGCAACTCGTACTACGAGTTAGAGGACTTGCAGGTCGGCTGGTTGGCAAATATAACGCAAAAGATTTGTAGCAGTAGGAGGGATTTTTTTTGTTGCTGCCCCAAGTGTACCAATCTTGGGAGTCTGACCCCCAAGCTTGATCTTGAGGAAGGGGCATTTGTAGCGCTTGCCGGAGTTTAGATACTTTGCTTTGGTGGTAGAATAGAGAGACTAACGTAACAGAGACTTCTGTCAATTTTCGTGTCTGACCCGAAGGGGGCAAGAGGCGATGGAGGAAGGTTCTTGCTAATGGCGAGGCGCTTCCACTTTCTTTCCGATTTTGGCAGTCGAGCTAGACAGTTCAGTTTTTCCAAACATATATGCGAAAATTTTAATTTCACAATAGTTTAAGTTCGGGTGAAATAAAGACCTTAATAAATTTCAATAAGCCGCTGCCAAATTAGATTGTGCATCTCGGAAGGAGATTTCTTTTTGTAAGAGCATATTTTTTTTGTAAGTTAGGGAGATCAACAGTTCTCTTTACCAGGCTTGGCGCTTCTTAAGTACTTTATTTAAGTGCCTAAGAAAAGCTTTTTCTGTTTTGCTGCAGGAACGATTATCTGGCCAATGACCGGTGGAGACCTGGATTCTATCCGTATCATATGGATCATAATATTCGGCGAGGGAGCAAAAGTAAATTTAAGTCTTCGCGGTTCCAAAAGGGCAGAAATAACTTAAGAGAAGAACTAAAAACTTTTCGAATCTCAGACTAAGTGTGGTGAAAAAGCAGGAAAATTTGGCTATAGTGAGAAGAAAATGAAAAGTGTATAGGCCGAGAAGCCAAATTTTTACAGCTCTCTGTGCTGTCATTCGTGGTGACGTTGGTTGCGTGAGTTTATGTATAGTGCATATATAGAATATATAGTGTGAGTTCATATATATTCTTGATCAGGATCACTAGACGAGTCGATTTAGCCATGTCCGTCTGTCTGTCTGTCTGTGCGGATGAACGCTGGCGTGCAGATTCCTGAGCTTCTTACGCAGCTCAAGTTTGTTTCAGCAGAGTGCCACGCCCACTCTAACGCCCACAAACCGCCCAAAACTGTGGCTCGTACAGTTTTGATGCTAGAATACAAGTTTTAACTGAAATGTATTGTTCTCATCAAGACCTATCGACTGACCCAAAAAAAGTTGGCCACGCCCACTTTAACGCCCACAAGTCGCCCAAACCTGTGACGCCCACAATTTTTATGCAAGATAACCAATTTTAACTAAAATGTATTGGTCTCGTCAATACCTATGTATAGGTGAAAAAAAAAAAATTGCCACGCCCACTCTAACGCTCATTATGCTTAAATCTGTCTACCGCCGGTAGGTGGTTCATTTTAATCTCGCTTTGCTGCTTGCATATCTCCATTTCCTTTGGTCCCTTAAGCTGAGTAACGGGTATCTGATAGTCGAGGTACTCGACTATAGCGCTCTTCCTTGTTTTCTTTCTTTTTGTTTTTTTGTGTGCCTAGTTCTGTGCACGGCTTGAATTTTGCCTCTGTGCCTTACATTGGGGCAAGATGCCTGGAAATCATATAAAAATAAATATTTGTTCCACAGGACCGATCGAGAAAGTTGTTTCATCGATGGAGCCAGTAAAGTTGGGGTGAGTGTCAAAGAAATTTCATCCTCCATTTTTATTTTTGACCTGAGATAGCGGGACATGTTCTTTGAGTTTCCATGCAAGGCGTGACCGGCTGTGCGGCTCACCGCAAAGCAGAGCAAATTAAATAACCTGCAATGGAAGAAGGTGCGATAAGAAATGAAAGAAAATATGAACGCGCTTTTGAACTAATAATGCTAAATTAAATGTTTTAAACCTCATTTTATAGCCAATCTTTTACCGTCTCGTCACAAATAGAGCTCAGAATTATAAGTTTAAATAGCAATTTGTATACGTGTTGAAAAATTCAGTGCTGTTCACACATCTTTTTTTTTGTTCATTTTACCTTGTCTAATTTATATAATGTCCCTTGCGTTAAGAAATATTCGTTAGCTGTTAAGAATAAATTTATAATGTTTTGAAATAATATTGTTTTTGCCTCCGTCATTATGCCGCCCCAGTTAACACACTTAAATTCTTTTTTATGGGCCAATAAAAAAATGTTTTTTTTTTAATCGGAAATAAGTTGGCCATAGGTAGGTCGGACAGAGGTTATTTAGAGGGTATTTTGGTTAGTGTAGGGAAATGAAGTGAGAGCCTCAGCTGAGACTTGCGTAGTGTATGTGCAAAGTCGTTCCCTTCGTAGCTCTTGTCGCAGCACGCCAATTAAGTAGAAGTTTGATGGCAAAAGGCACCTCTAAAGAAAAAGGAACAAGATCACCACCCCACTTGTCGACGAGCAAGGCCGAGCTAATTTCGCGTGCGTCCCTTTTTCCCAGTGTATCATCTAGCCTGAATCGTTACAGACCTGCTCCAGGAATTCAACCTTATGAAAGCCCTTCCACATTTAAGTAAAATGATTTTTTACAACTTGAGTTAGTTTATCTTTAGTTTTTATTCGAGCACGTTTTTCTTAAGAAAACGAAATCAGTAATGTGTTGTAATAACTGTTTTTCATACATACATATGTATATACACAAACATAAACGTAACGTTACGTAAACGAATAATTATTAACTTATAAGCTAATGTGTGAAATAATTAAGTAAATTGGATGCTATTAACAAACACAGATGAATGTTAGCATAGCCAGATAAGAAATATAGATATTTATAGTTAATTTTTTCTCTTTAAAATTTTCTTAGTCTCAGTGCCGATTTCAGTTTAAGGAAAAAAAGAATCAAGTGGGTTTTCAAATAAAACGACCAATAATGTGCTGAAAAAGGTTATCTCATCTTATTCAAATCAAATTTTTCCGAATGAAAATTCATTTTTTTCATTGAGCTCCAATCGACTGAAATTGGCCTCGATTTACTAAACAACAAAGTGTTGACAGAAAATCGAAGGAATTCTAACACTAATATCATTATAGAAAAAATTTTCAAAACAATATTGTTGTTCAGAATTTTCCAAGTTGTTGGACAAGCTAATCAACATTTTTCCTTGCGAAGCGCAAAGCCGGGTAATATTAAACATTCTGCTTTTATCTTAGGGACTATTATTTTGTAATTTTGTAACGCCCTTCCTCCATGTATATAGACTGAATAATGACATTTAAGCCGTAATGCTTAAATATATATAAATTTAAAAAAACTTAGCATTTTTATAGAGAATGGATTCCGGGAGTCAGATCAATGCGATGTTGAATCCAAGAACTGTTCTTCTGGAAATCGAGATCAATGAGATGTTGAATCCGAGACCGATTCATACCGAAATCAAAATTGATGCGATGTTGAAACCGAGAACGGGTCTTCTCGAAATAAGGATCGAACATTCTCAAAAACCCGTTTGGAAACCGAGAAGACTTCAATGACGATTTTAGGATTTTTAGTATGAATCGATCTTGGCTTACTTTTGAGATCGAAAATACTGAAAGCCAGAACGGTTTCCTTTTTTGAGTGTATAAGCTGCATAAAACAGTTCCTAACCAATTTCATTATTTGGTACTGATATTTATTAAATAGGAATTAGAACTACAGGGATGTATACTAAGGTCTAGCATAGAGAGAAATACGCAATGCATTTAATTATGAGTTTACAAACATTAAGCGTAAATATTTATTAATTTCTATCAGATGTTCCGGTTGAAAGTTTCCAACATACAGTTTGTGACCCATTATCATGCGCAAAGGTGTCCAGGCCAGGATATATGGCACTTATTTATTGAGGTCAACACAGAACAAATTTCGGTTAGAACGCTTTGTGCATATGTAACAATTAAATATTAAACCGACTGAGGTCACTGTAGGCTAAATAGTATTAAATATTTACGCAATATTTATAGATTACATATACATTTTTACTAAAATACAATTTTAAAATCAGCGCTTTTTGTTGTCAATCAAATTATTTAATAGGCGATGACTAGAAGCTCGATTATTTCATTGCAGTATAAAGCGTCTTACTCCCAAAAGCAAAAAGATTAGGCAGCAAGCTAATAGTGTAATATTGATGATATTTTTATGAAATTTTGGATCATTTATTTTTATATACTTTTCAGTTTAAATATTATTTCCTATAAGATATGCAGATGGTGCCAAGTGCCTTAAAAGACATACCACCACACCTTCTTTAGTTTCCGATTGGCTTAGCGTTAATATACCATCAGTTGCCCAGTATTCGTAGTTCCAATATTGACAAGAACCAGACATATTTACATCGTTTTTAATCGTCCTTCTTAAGATAAGTGGTAAAGGTTCAGGGAGAATGGAACTGTATCCAGGTAATGATATCGAAACTATACGACTTAAAAGCTTTTTAGATCCAGTAGAATGTTGAAACAGTTTGTCATTTGAGTATACCTTAACAACAACAATAGGGTCACTTTTATTGTTTGCGGATGAAAGCCAGCCAGATAATGCTTTTAATTTAGCTAAAAGATGGTTTGGTAAATAAACACCAAGTTGTAGGTTTGGTTCTTTTACAACATCATTAATGTCATGATTTGTTTGGAGAAATCGGTAATGTTCATTTATAAATGCTCCTTTTAATTGTTGATGTATTTCTCCAGACTTTTTATTTTTAAACAGAGCTATTCCAGAAACATTAGCAACAAGAGGATTGATAAGGAAATATAAAATGTACTTCGAAATATGTACGGAAACTCCTATATCATCATAGTCTATGGTTTCACTTTGTACTTCTAAGTCAAAGTCTTCTTCAGCAATGTCGGTGTGAATAAAGAACAATTTAGTTGAAATAGTGTCGACAGATCGTTCAAATGATTCCAATAACTTGTTTGTCGCGTTTATCTTAGCTGACCTTCTAAGAACGCTGAAGTCAATACTTATTATTGAATTGTAAGTATTCAAAATATCAGCGAAAACATTTCTCCATTTTACAAAACCTTCAAATGTAACCCAATACAATTTGTTTTCTAAAATGTTCTCAAGGGCAATTTGAATAATATTAGAAATAAGCAGTATATCAACGGGTACTAGTATTTTTTTGTTTTTTGTGATTATGTCTTTAATATTATTTAATACTATTTCTGGACTCGAGCTATGCGTATATGATTTCCATAAATCATGAAATATTTTTGTAATTTTGTTTGTGTTTTTGCATACGATTAGTTTTCTTAATTTTCTCCAAAAGGGTCCACTTAAGTCACCTTTACATAATCTAGAAAAAGGCATGTCATTTTTTTTAAGGCATATTCTTTTAGTCCTTGCAAGTTTTCCGAAGCGAGTTAATACCCATTGGTTCTTCATGTCATTTTTGGAAAATAATCGCTCTGGAAAACATAGGTTTTCATTACGTATGAGAGCTGTCGAGTTTTTACTGAGATACACAAACATTTTCGTCTTGCATTCAACATTCACAATTCGAACACAGTGTACAACAAGCTCATCTAAGTTGCTATTACTAGTTCTACTTTTTATGAGGCTTCTTAGTTTCTTACCAGTTACTATGGAGTCTATGCTTAAGACGTTGCACATATTATTCTGGCAATCATGACGAATACATAAGACATTCCAACGTCTAACAAATCCATGCCCTTGGCTCGGGATGGGAGCTATAAATAGTTGGGTGGACACTGACTGGAAATCTAAAATTCTGTGACCTTCACAATAATATTCGGTACCATACTTCGAAACCAAATTAACTTGAAAAATAGAGAAGGTTTGCTTTTTTTTCTCACAAACAAGATCCGCCTTTGCTTTTTTTAAAGTGCCGTATTCTGAATATGTAAAACATTTTACTCCAAGATGAATTTCCTTATTTGCCCACAAGTACTTCCGGTTATAAGCAAGCAGTATTAACGTTTTAGTCTTTCCATCCACTTTTAATACCATTTTTACTGCATTTGTTGGCTCGGTATTTTGTTTGCTCAAAGCAGAAACCCATTTCATACCTTTTCCAACAATTTTAATTATTTTAAATGGGTTCATTAAAATAGTATACTCAGCTCCAAAAGTACCAAAAAAATAATCAATTTTAAACAAATATATATTTTTTTTCTCTGTCACATACTTTGCGAACATTTTTCTTGGAAAATTTTGAATTTTTTTTTTCTTCCAATCAATACCAAAACAGTCGTGAGGCCGATATGTTAAGGCTCCAAAACCGTTCGGACACCCAGCACTATATAGCAATTCCGAATTGAAAATGCAGATAGCGTTAATAAAAGTGTTGCAGGGTACAGCGACTACTACAATTTCAGAGTTCAACATACTTGGATTATTTAGGATGTGCTTACAACAGTGTTCATCAGATTTGTTCTTAAACTGTATTAATTTATTATGTAATACTTTCCTCCACGTTTTTGCTGGCAAACGCACTTTAAATGGCATTCGCCTTGTTGGCAGCCAATATTCATTAATTTTCTTCTTTATAAAAAACTTAGTTAATTTGAAAATTTCTGTTGGAGTAATTATATTTGACCCATAGCAAAATTCTTCATTGTAAGCTTGAACTTCCTTTGAAATTTTTAAGCAAATTGTAACATTGTTATGCGATCGAATTTCATACAGTTCATCTGGACAGTGCTTCTTTATACTTATTGTCGTTTTGCAATCTACTAAATAAGGGATCCAACGCCCAGTATTTGTATCGTACATACGCTTAAAAATTTGGTGATTGGTTTTGAGGCAAACTAAATCTTCACACATTGCATTATTAATGTCATAATAGTTCAAACTTGCAGTTGACTTGATAAAGTCATAACACATTTTAAGCTGAAATAAATTAGGGTATGTAATTGTCTTATAACTTTCAATTAATTACTTATTTAACATACTTACCGAACTATTTTGACTATATACATAAAAAGTGCAGAAGCACATAAAAATTAGAGTAAAGATGGAGTTATTAAACATATTTTTGAAATAACAAAACATTCCCTTGACTCTAACTTATATTAGAAAAATTAAATCTTGTTATCTTATTGTGAAACTTTTATTAAAATCTTTTGGGGTGGTCCCAAAAAACCTTTTTTCCCATTACTAATATTTTCATGTTTTTAATACTCGTTACCCTTCAGGTCTGCAGTAGGGACGTGGTGTCATGGCTCAAGGCAAAAAGCTTTTTTTTGTGCCTAAAACGCTGTGCCGCTGTTGACGTCATCAGGGAAGTCGGCGCAGCGTAGAGGACTGCCTACGAAAACGATCGGCCACAAAGAGAGGCAGATATTCGGAAGTTCTCTCTCTTTCTTTGTCTTATAACCTGCCTGCACTCGGCACTCTCAGAGACAAATTTTGTCTCTCTGCTATGTTCGGCTAGCGACTAACATTTCGGCGTGAATGCCCTAATATTTTAGGAGCATTATTGTATATCGATAAAAAAAACGACTAATATTGTTTTAAATGCCCTAATATCTTAGGAGCATTATTGTATATCGAAATAAAATCAACTAATATTGTGAGAATTATTGTTTATCGAAAAAAACAACTAAAATTGTTTTATAAAAGTAAATTATTTGATTAGAGTAAAATTAAGTATATTTAATTTACTTATAATGTAATGTTTACTTATAATACATTTTAATTACAACATCATTTTTTAGTTTAGTTATAGAAATTTAGTCCGTTAAAATTAATTTTAATATTTAAAATATTTTAGTACAAACATTTAAAAAAAATTCATATTGTATTTTTTACTCAAGAAGTAAAAATGATATAGTCGGGTATTTTTCGCTTTAAAAATGGTATAAGTGGTATAAGCATCCATTTTAACTGTGCGCAGCAGAGTTACTTTAATTGTTTCTTTAAGTTAATACAATAAAATCCGGTAAGTGCTACGTTAAGTTTAAGATGTTGTACATTGATCTTAGTTTAAAGCTTTGAAGGTATTCAATGGGTTCCGTTAGCCGAAAGTAGATGATAAAATGTTTTGTGCCAAAACAAATTTCGCAAAGGGTTTACAAAAAAGCTCTAAAAGGCAAATATACTAATTAACAAGTAAAAAAAATTTTTAATCATATGCCCACACATTTTTTTTAGGAGTGCTGGCCAAGGACTCCGAGGACCCGGACACATGTTTGAGAAAGGCGATGACGAACGTGAAAAACAAACCCTTCAGTTCTGCAGTAGGGACGCGGTGACATGGCTCAAGGCAAAAAGCTTTTTTTGTTTTTTTTTGTGCCTATCGATTTAGCGTCGCTTGTGAACGGTTGTGTTTACTCTTGTGCTCTGAATTTTTGTCTATTCTGTGATTTTTTGCGAGTGTTTTGTGTTTGTTTATTAACAAAGCTTAGTCTAACCGCTGGGTTAGTGTGTTTAGTGTTTTTTACTAGATCTCCCAGTGATTATAGTTATTTTAACATTTATGTTAGATTTGTTTAATCTCCTAGCTTTGTTAGTGTAATTCTTATACTCACTAAACTTGCTAAAACTCTTTGATTCTCACTCTCTCTCCCGCTCTATATTACAACTGTAACTTAAACTCTCTCTGAACCTGCCAAATTTCTGGTAGACTTTTGGTGTGCTATTCTCTTGTCTTCTCTCTCTCTCTCTCTTGCTTGCTTTACATTGTAACTGTTCCTGCGTAAAGTTGTCAGTGTCCCACAAGCAACGCTCAATCGACAGAAAATTTTTTCTCTCGTGCTCTCTTACATTTAAATTATTACGCGATCTCGCGCTCTTATTTTTTTTCGTGTTTTGTGCCTTTGTGGTTTTGGAATTTGATCCCAGTGCCAAATTTACTCGAGGTATTTTTCATATATTATTTTATTTTATTTAATTTCCTTAAAATGGCTCTTGTGTGCTCTAAGAAGAATTGTACTCTTTCGTCTTCAACTAAAGACCCATTTATTTTCTGCTGGCTCTGCGAGTCGATAATGCACGTAAAATGCGCAGGATTTACTGGTAGAGTCAAAGACTTTATTGATCAGAATTCTGGACTCATGTGGTCATGTGGATCCTGCAAGGAAATGGTTGTTGAGATGAGCGGCTTTATGAAGCAGACTCGAGACAGCCTCTTGAATCTCTCTGGTGCTTTTAAACAGCTCAATGAGGGGTTCAATTCCGTTTGTGCCCAATTTAATAATAAAAAATTACTAACTGAGTCGCCTAAACGTAAAAAAACCAGCTTAGCGGCAGTTAATACGGTCACGGAATCCACCCCAAATCCGAATTTGGTGGCTGCAGCAGTCTCTGTTGACACTGTGGTAAGTGAACCCACTGCGCCTATGGATACAGCTGTTTTAGGTGAAGTCACTGCTTCTCGAAGTCGGGTGGTAAAAAAACCTTCAGTGCCGGCTACGGTGCCGACCGTACCTATAGGTACAGAAGTTACCGTTTCTGGCTCTCAGCTTAGTGAGGTGCAATCTGCTACTGGGGGACGTAAGAAATTATCGGTTGTTCCACATAGAAAACAATTATTTGTTTCGAGATTCACCCCAGATACCACATCTGAGGATGTTTTCGGAATTTATTCGAGAAAAATTCCCATCCGAGAATATTTCAGTTGAGCAATTTAGATTTTCATATGCTCGTAGTATATCGTCGTTTAAAATATTTGCTCCGCCTGATGTGTTTAAGGTACTACTTTCTGAAAGCTTTTGGCTTAATGATGATTTAGTAATAAAAGAATTTGTTCCCAATAAGCCGAGAACAAATAATAGACCTTCCACTGCGCCAAAAACTAAAAAGTTTATTTTTGGTTTATCAAAACGTTAGGGGACTAAATATGAAGCTACCCAAGCTTTATGCTGACTCCTCTGCATTTACTGCTGAAATTTTGGCTTTTACGGAGACTTGGCTGAAACCGGAGATATCTGACAATGAAGTTCTGTCAAACAATTTTAATGCCTATAGGACCGATCGCACCTCACGTAGGGGAGGCGGTGTGCTGATTGCCGTTAGCACTAGCCTAACATCCGAGAGAATTAACTCTGATACTCCTAATGAAATTGAATTTGTTAGTGTGAAAGTTTCCTTGCAATCATTCTCAATATTTGTTACATGTTCCTATATTCCACCTGGCTCTGATTTAATAATTTATGAGCACCACCTGTCTGCGATAAAATCTGTTCTATCCCTTCTTTCTAACAGTGACCTTTTGATTGTTTTGGGTGACTTTAATCTCCCTGATATTTCTTGGTCTCCTCCTACTGACTCACTAGTTGCTATACCTCTATCCGCCCATGATTTTGTAGATGGTCTTCTAGAATTATCGTTACAGCAAGTAAGCTTTATACGGAATTCATTAAATAGATAACTAGATCTTGTGTTTGTTTCAGACCCGTCTGAAGTCACGGTATCTAGAATTGACGCTCTTGTTGTACCTGAAGACCGATATCATCCAACAATGGAATTGACAATCTGCCTCCCATGCGTTGATACCCTCTCTCCTTTAGTTTCTCAAACTAAAGTGAGATGTTTCCGAAAATGTAACTATAAAAAACTTAACGACATGATTTCTCAATATAATTGGACAGAATTGTACAATTGTATGGATATTGAAAGTGCCACTGAACACTTCTATATAGTGTTAAATACCTTTTTTAATGAATGCGTTCCTGATAGGTTTCCTTCAAAGACAAACAGGCCACCTTGGTTTACCAATGCGCTTCAAAGACTTAAAAACCTTAAGACAAACACTTATAAAAGTATAAGAAATCGGGTAAGCCATCTGATTTTTCGAAATATGTGGTGGCTCGATCGGATTTTAATGTTCTCAATAGTCATTGCTATTCTATGTATTTAAGTCGATGTAAATTTGAATTTTCAAATGATCCGAAGCAGTTTATAACTTTGTCAATCCCAAGCGTAAGTCGTCTGCATTGCCTTCATCGGTACGTTTTAACTCAGTGGAGGCATCGACGGATTCTGAAATTGCTGATTTATTTGCCGAGTTTTTCCAAACTACTTATAGTTCGGCTGCTTGGTCAAATTCTAACTACCCTAATCCCTTAAATAAGGCAAATTGTATCTTTACCCCTGAAATTACGGAAATTTCTCTCGTAAGAGACTTAGAAAAAACAACGCCAACTTATTCTCCCGGTCCTGATGGACTCCCCGGGTGTGTGCTTAAGTTTTGTGCGTCAACCATATGTAAACCGATTCTTAAACTTTTTAATTTGTCTATTTCATCGTCAGTTTTTCCTACTATCTGGAAGGACTCTTTTATCATTCCACTTCACAAAAAGGGTGCGAAGGCGGATGCCCAGAATTACAGAGGTATTTCTAAATTGTCGGCAATTCCTAAAGCATTTGAACGTATTATTACTTCTCATTTGCAACATTTATGTTCCTCGCTAATATCACCGTGTCAGCATGGTTTTGTTAAGCGAAGATCGACCACCATTAACCTTCTGGAATTGTCATCTATTGTAATAAATGGATTTAAGAATAAAATGCAGACTGACGTTATATACACAGATTTTAGTAAGGCCTTTGACTCTGTCAACCACTCTCTTCTCTTATTCAAATTAAATCAGCTTGGGTTTCCATGTAATCTATTAACTTGGATTTCAAGTTATTTGGATGGTAGGACTCAGAGGGTTATATTCAAGAACGCTGCCTCAAAACTGATCTATGTGACATCTGGAGTGCCTCAGGGTAGTCATTTGGGCCCTTTGCTGTTTACTTTGTTTATTAACGATCTTCCCTCTATCATAACACACTCTCGTGTACTAATGTATGCTGATGATGTTAAGTTTTGTTTATCACATAATGATATAGCGTCGGGTTTCAACTTACAGTCAGATATTGATTGTTTTCAGGGATGGTGTGAGTATAACCTTTTAAATTTGAACTGCCTTAAATGCAACGTTATGACTTTTCATAGGGGTACTCCTACTTTTGTTAGTTACTCTCTTCAAAATACCGTATATATTCAGTTAATGACTTAGGCGTTCTTCTGGACCCAAAACTTAAATTTGACTGCCACATAATGTCCACTGTCAGCAAGGCCATGAGTGTTCTTGGGT